GGAGTGCTTGAGAGCTTAACGAGGCTCACTTCATGGCCTGAGTTTGGGTGAAGATGGCCACCTGATCTCAGGATGTGGTCAATGCCTGTGGGAGTGTAGGATGCAGAAAGGAAAAAAACCAAAAAACCACCAAACTCTTTTTCAGTTCCAGCTGCCAGACCTGGCTTAAGTCTGACCAAGCCTTTCCAAGTGGGTGCCAAGGAGGATCCTAGAGATATAAATGTACTTTTCCTCAACACCCCTGAACATCCAAACTTCTGCTTTCAAGACTGGTGACCAGGAAAGATGTTTCTTGTTGCTGGTTCACTGCAGAAACCTGGAGCATAACACTTGCTATCAAGTGTGCACTGCACTGTGGTTCTCTTAACTGCTCGTATGTGCCTTCCCACTCTCTCTCCTGCAGCTGAGGTGGACTTTTCTGGTTGTCACCTCAGTTATTCCTTCCTAGCATAAAATCCCTCTGTTGCAGAAAGGTGGCATTTGGCTTGATGCAGAGAGTGGTTCCTCTGAGGGCCAGAATCTGTGTGCTAGCAGTGCCTACAAATGCAGATCCTAGTTTCTCAATAGAGAAAAATTTAAAGTAGTGATTTTGTGCCACCTTCTTCCTACTTGACCTCTAGGAAAATTCTGACAAAGAGGGGTAAATGAGGAAATGAAACTATTTGCATTTAAGAAGAAACCATATGCACTGTGTTTGTGTCCTTAACTGTGAATGGCCAAATGGTGTTGCAGAAGTGCTCTGCTGTCCAGCTAAGTGAAAACAATACCAAGAAAGGAGACCATCTTTTGTGTGTGACCTATTGCTATGGTCTGCTGTTGTCAAAGAAGAAAGTCTCCACAGAAGAGGGGCTGCTTCCCAGTTCTGAGAAGGCAGCTGCAGAGGGGGGTGATGGTAGCTGTTCCCTATTGGGAACTTGTAGGCGCTGGTGGATGTGTCTTGCTGGCCTGACTGATGTGTGGAAGGGTTTGCAGTGGTGCTGTGGCAGTAGTGTGATGCCAGCAAGCTCTCATAGTGAGAGGCACAGCTCGTGCTGCTAGAGGAGGGCTT